TTTCAAGCCTGGCGGTGTAAATTCCTTGTTTCAGATCAATGATCTCAAGAACTCACCCGGGCCATCCAGAAAGGCAGTTCGTGTTGCTACAAAACAAGCTATTGCTCTTCTCCAAGACAACTATCCTGAATTTGAAGCCAAAAATATGATTCTTAGTTTTTGTGTTTTTTTATGAATGTTTAACTAAAGGTTTGCACAGTTGGTCCCTCGCATAATTGGTCAACGGTGATCTGTCACTTTTACCCTTTAGGAATTGGGCATTGCATGTGGACCCAATAAGTTCCTGCCAAAATTGGTTCGGAAAAGTGAAAAGGGACTAAAGATGATCATTTTTTGTTTGTTAGGGATCAAAACTGATCATTTTTGTTCAAAGAGACTAAATTTTCACATATGTAATATATGAGAGACGATTGGTGCAGCTCTCCTTCTTAAGGAATACAAATGGACGACATTTCCAACGTAGTATCCAAAGTTCAAAGTTAAAAGATGCAAAATACAAAAACATTTTATGAGTCTAAAATATCTATTTACCTCTACCTTGTATATACGAAGAAAACCAAGTTACTATAACATCCCATCATTTTGGCCCGTGTATTGCCTAAACTTTTGACAAATGAAACTTTTTTTTTTTGCTAAAATTTTCCTTCCCTTTTTCATTCAATTGGCCATAAAGGTTAAAATATCTTTACATTATTAGAAAATGCACTCTATCTCTTTTTCTTCTTCTCACTATCATCCCTCATTTTTTTTATTTATTATTTCTTCAAACTAATCTAGCTAAGAATGTTGCCATGTTTTTTTTCTTATTTTGTTCTGGTGATTAGTTGTTTAGCAATGAGAGGTCTTTATTTTTTCTTTGAGACTAGTTTACATTTTCTTTTCTTTTTCATCTCTCATATTTGCTCTATTATTCTATCTTAATGTTATAGTCAACTGACATTTGTGTGCTAAATTTGAAAGATGATATTGTTATTTGATATTTCTTTATGGATAAAAGGTGAAATATTAAAATATATAAAAAGATCTTAGCATTAATTTTATGCCAGTGATCCTCTTCAATGAAAAATAAAACAAAAATTCATTCCTTTCTTTTCTCTTCTCAATATTTGATTTCTTACTTCGCATTTTTTTCCTTTTCTTTTTTTATGTTTATTTTGTAATTATCTACAAATTTTGTGTATTTTTGTTAGGAGAACAGATATCATGTGATGCTTCCACCGAGATAATTCTAACTGGGTATTCTTTTATCTCTGTTTCCCTCCGTTTCTTTCTTGTTTTCTCCCTGTTTGCAATGACTGCTCCGTTTGGATTAGTTGTTTTTGGGGTTGTTTTTCAAAAACAGCACTGTAGCATTTCGTTTTTGAAATACAAGTCCGTTTGGATTAGTTGTTTTTTGGGTTTTTTTCAAAAACTATATGAAAAACTTTTACTGTAGATGTTTTTTGGATTATTTTTAGAGGTATTTTTAAAACATATTTTTGGATATTTTTATAATTTATAATTTTTATATTTTTATTTTTATATACATTTATGCATTTATAATACATTTATAAATATTATTAAATAAATATATTTATATATTCGCTAAAAATATATATAAATGTATTATATTATATATAATACATAATATAAATATATTTATAAATGTATAAGTGTATATTATTATAAATGTATAAATTATAATTTATAATTTATAATTTTTATATAAATATACATTTATGCATTTATAATACATTTATAAATATTTATAAATAAATATATTTTTATTTTTATATAAAAATATATAAATGTATTATAAATTTATTATATTATATATAATACATAATATAAATATATTTATAAATGTATAAGTGTATATTATTGTAAATGTATAAATTATAAATGAATATTATATAAATTTATAAATTATAAATTATTATTTATTATTTTTATATTTTTATATAAATATACATTTATGCATTTATAATACATTTATAAATATTTATGAATAAATATATTTATGTATTTATATAAAAATATATAAATGTACTAGAAATGTATTACAATATATATAATACATGATATAAATATATTTATAAATGTATAAGTGTATATTATTATAAATGTATAAATTACAAATTAATATTATATAAATTTATAAATTATAAGTTATTAATATATATTAATATTATGTATAAATGTATTATTATAATTAATATAAATGTACAAATGTATTAATATTATGTGTAAATCTAAAATAATATTATGTATATTAATATAAATGTATAAATGTATTATATTATATATAATACATAATATAAATGTATATTATAAATATACATTAATATATATACATATTATTTATAAATATACATTTATATAAATGTATAATATATATAATATATATTACATATTATATTATATATAATTTATATAATATATAATATTCATATAAATATATTATAAATGTATAAAAATATTTTTTAAATAAAATAAAATATTTGTAATATGTATAAATAAATATATAGATATTTAATATATATAATATACATTAATATTAATTATAAATATTATACTATTATAAATATGGTGTTTATATAATATTTCAATTTGTAATATTTATTGTATATTTCATTATATAAATATTTATATAATATATAATATATAATTTTCAATTTGTATAATATACATAATTTATAAATTATATAAATGTATAAATTATAATATAATATTATACATAATATACATTATTACATATTATGTATATTATATATTATATATAACATTATTATACACAATAATGTACATAATAATATTATACATTAATAATGTATATATTATAATATAATGTACATAATATTATGTATAAATATTTACACATTTATGTATACAATATTACATATTATGTATATTATGTTATGTATAATATACAATATTATGTATAATATTAATGTATATAAATATTTATATAATATAATATATATAATTTTCAATTTGTATATTTCAATTTATATTAATATAGTATATATATATATAATATACACAATTAAAATATACATATGTAGTTGTTTTTTATATAATGTTTGGATATGGTGTTTTTGGAGTTGTTTTGGAAATACACATTTACTGTAGCATTTGGAATGTGAAAAACAGTTTTTCAAAAACAGCCCCAAAAACAAGAGATCCAAACGAACCCGAATCGTGTATTAAATTCAATTGAAGGATCCAGTAAGATTTTGTATATATTCAATTTCTATTTGTTTTTTAATTACTTAAGTGCTATAATGTCACTCTTATTGTCGATAACCATCTTACTTTTATTTTGTTAAGCAATTGATATTGTAGTTGACATAGGAAGTTTATGTAGTATAATAATATGTTAAGGATTTGAAATTTATCATTCCCTTAGGAGGTTTCAAGACTTGATGGTGTTAGGTGTGAAAGGCATAAAATTTGTCAAAAGAAAATTCTTTGCGTGATAATTGCCTTGAAGAAATTCCTTACTCAAAACATAAAGTTGTATATTGATATGTCCTATATGGCCTTGCATAATAATTGTAGCAATTAGTTTGGGGAAAGACCCAATTTTTCATTTGTTTATCCATATATTGTAATTTTCCAGGTTGAGAATTTTGCATAATATAAAACTCTCTAGTTATTAAGATAAGTTTCTCTTATGATTTGCTAATAGCATGCGTATGCTTAAATCATTAACTATTGAAATTTGGACATACTCATTGATTCTATCAAATACAGATTACTATGTGAATGCGATCAAAATTGATAGGTAACTACTTTACATCAAAATTTTGGTCCTAAACTATGCATCAATCTAGTTGGCATACTACCATCATTGGATTCATAACTAAATACTGGAGGAGTGGCAGGACCGTTCCTGGAGGTTCATGGTCAATATTTGGCAAAAAAAAAAAAAATGTAAGGTTCAAATTTCATCTTATACATGATTTTTTACATTATATGTGGAGTCCACAAAATTCTATTCTATAGTTACAGATTGTTGAAACGTATTGGCCATTGCGCTTGTTGCCCTTACCTTTATCACTTGGTGTTGTATGAAGCTGAGTTGATAAAGGCGCAATGGTTGTTGATATTATCATTTCCTGTACATGGTTTTAAAGTTCACCATTTGAATATGCTATTTAGAGTTATTTTAAATTTTTATCATTTGAATGGTTAACGTTTTAATTTTTAAACTTCACCATCTCACCATTTCATGTTATTCAATCTTTGTTCTTTTCTATTTTTTGTTTGTTCTGTTTTTATATTGCACAACAATGTTATATTGGTCTAACTATAGTTTAGATTAATAATTACTTTTTATGTGTAACTAACCACTGTCATATATTTACTTCTGCCTCTATTCTTATTACTACCCACTACCAAATAATAATTTATTTGTATATATTATTTATGTAATTGTCAATTTTCTATATATTTTATAAAAATATAAAACCAAATCTTATACAAAATAATTTCAATGATTATATTTCAAAGATTTTTAAATATTTATTTACTGTTGCACATTAAGATTTGGGGAATGCATTTTCTTGTAAATTGAGTGAGATGTGGTTTTTTTTAATCTAAAAACTTCTCTTAAGGTTGAACATAAAATAAAAATATTTGATTTAGCAAATCTACTTAGACATTTTTCTTATGCTTGAGCATAAAAAAAATTAACCAAAAAGGCTATCGGGCTTAGTTTTCAAGTTTTTTTTTTTTAAAAAAATTGCAGGCTTTAAGGCTAATAACCTAGCAGAATTTTTTTTAAAAAAAAAATTCCCGTAGCTGTCGGGCTGACTAAACCCAACAGTCAAAAGAAAAATGTTTCTACCAGGCATTCATATGAGAAAATTCATAAAAAAATCTCATTTTTTTTTATGAATTTTAATTTTTTGAATTTGTTAAATTTTTTGTATTATTTAATTAATAATTATTAAATTTTTAAAAAATAAAAAAAATAAAAAATAATATTTATATTAAAAAAATAATAATATAATAAAAAATACGACAGAGACGGGAAAAGGGTTACATTCTTTCCTTCGTCTCTATCATTCTGCATTATCCCTATAGCCGCTGCTCTATCCCCAACCGGCCTTTACCCAATTTCAGTTGCTGAGATTTCTCCGGTAAGAAGAAGATTTCCTTCCTCGATCTTGGTCAAATAGATTATGATCAGTTTCCTACGTGTTTTCTTTTTATTTTTTATTTTTTTGAGTCGGATCTAGAAGGTGCTCTATTTTTTTTTTTGTGCTTTTGCTTTTCTTTTCTGATTCAATGTGATTTCCCGTTGTTTGGACAATAGCTTGCAATGCTATCTGGCTAGGGTTTTCTAGATCTGTTGGTTGGGATGTAAGTGCGGTTTTGATAAAGTTTTTTCTAGATCCGTTGCGATTAAGTTTAGATTTTTTTTACTGACTGTTATTTTTATTCGTTTGGGCGATAAATTTTGTCTACCATTTTACGTTCTCGAAAACATTATACAGAATAATGTTTTTTTGGTTTCAGGTCCTACTGCAATGCTGATCATCAGTGAGTTACCTTCCTGTCATACAGAATAATAATATAATAATATACAGAATATCAACAAGAGCTTTTTTTTAATTTTTTTTTTTTGGATTTTGGTGCCGGGGGGTGTGGGGTTTATGATCCTCCCGTGGAAATGTTTCTAATCTTGGTTAGTTTGTGACTGCAGGGAATGAAACTCTATTCATAGCGAGCATTGGTTGTGCCTATGTCACGGTCAAACTTGGATTCATGGCTTATGAGAAGTGGTCTGGGCGAGATAAACGGTCCAGGTTGGAGGGCCTGTACGATGGGACTAGCAAAGGGAAAAGGGATTAGCTGTTTGTCTAGGTTGCTAATGGGGCGATGAACTGAGATTGACATTCTGATACTAGTAGTGAAAGTGGTGGTTTTGTTGGCATAGATATGTATGTTGGTTGGTTGGTTGTGGCTTTAAAGACCTCCTTTTTATTTTTAACATAATCATCTGTGTGAATTTCTGGGTTCCTTTCCCCTGTTTTTGATCTGTGGACGCTCATTAATGCTTATTGCCAGCAACTTGTTTGTATTTCGGGCTGAGAGGGTTGAGCTGGCAAATGGCAATGACATCCTCATCCTCCTCTTGGAGAGAACGGTCCTACTCTTGTGTTTGCTGTCAATTTAACGTCTCCCATGTCTCTTACAACTGATTCCAGAAAAAGATAAAAAACCAAAACAAAAGAGGACTCCTACACATCGAGGCCTCGCGAGCTTGCTAAACCATTTAGGAGTGCTGGGTGATTGTATCTGTCGGGGGTTTAAGTTATGCATTTTTTGGGCCGACGTGGACAACCAACCAGCAATAACAATATAAATGTATCCGCTGGGCTTCAAGTTTTTTTGGGGCCAGGGACGGGGTGGGTAGCCCCCAACTGCAAAAGAGTGTTCTTGGGCAGCCAGCATCAAAGAATTCGCTCCCCAAAATATCCCATCATAGTCAGTCCAAAGCAATGCATACGAGGGAATGCCCAAAACTATATACCATTACCAGCAGGTAATCAAGCTTAAGCGGGAATGCACTTTGCAAAGGGAGTTGATTTTGTTGCTGATGTGGTGGAATTATGGCCGTACAACCATTATTTATCGGTTATTAGATTGCCTGTGACTGTGAATCAGAAGTTCCCGGGTGTTGTACTTGTTATATTATGATGGTACCTTTTCAAAACTGCAAGCAAGAATTTGTAACCTATATATATATATATGTGTGTGTGTGCGCGCGTTACCTCTGAGAAGTTATCTGGACAATTCTTTTGATGTCTTCATTATGGATGAGGCAATAAAAAATTTGGGCAGAAACCCAGCTAGACGACAGGAAGCCAAGAACTTGGGCCTGCAAAAATTTTACCAACGCTACTTACAATGAGCATGGCGTTGACCATAGAATCAAGCCCAATAAGAAATAATCCTTTTAATTAGTTGCTACAGCCATCTTTAAAAAAATAATAATAAAAAAAATCTCGTGTCTCTGTTTTAATACACTAAGCTATTACAGTGTGATATCAAGATTAGGTAAGTTCAGCCGTCTGCTGTCACCAAAACTTTGAAACTGGATTTTCTATCTAAACAAATACTAGTAGTTCTTCACTATCTTACACCACTGGGTAATGTATCTAATCGAGGGATTTTCTTTTTCACTTTTCCTTTTAACCAAAAAAAATCTTACATTGAATGCAATTCAAAATTTTTGGGACGTTCTTCGCAATCTGCCCAGAAAAGGGCGGACAACACACAACAATGTACAGAACCAGCACCACCAAGCTTCCTGTCTTAACAGCATTCCATGAATGTCCCCAACCGGAGAGGTTGGAACTGTACATTTGCATGCGGGTCACATGCAACATCACGTTTGATTAAAGGATCCCTGTATTGGCCTAGCTCGTGAGGAATTAAATGCGATTAATTATCTTTAATGCAACTTGAAAATATAATACTGGTGAAACATTCATCGTATGATGATTATGCTCTCACTGCAGCATCGCAAGAGAATCCTCCTGTACAGCAGGAGCTACTGCTAGATTTATATAATACTAACCAATTCTTAGTTGGTAGCCTATTGAGATTTTAACTTTTAACTTCTTCCATCATCTCGGCTCTGTTTATTTGAATAGGTCACGGTGCTCTAGTCAATCTTATGACCCGGTTCCAATTTTCTGTTCCCTTATTTTCGAGGTACACACCAAAGAAAATATTTATATGTATATCAGCTCTTCTTTTAAGAAAACAAATACTACATATTATTTCTTTTTTCCTTTTGGTTCTTTATATCGAATTCAGTGCACTTACCAAGTTCACTTTATTTTGTATTCTGGAGATGTTGAAAACATGAGATGCGCTCAATCTTGAACTCCCCGATTCTAGAGCTCTGTCAAACATGTTTTCGAGAACAAAGATGCTTAAAAACCACATATTTTGTAATGTTAAACAATAAGTAAGGAGGAGGACTCAATCCTTTGTGGCTCTTTTAACAATAGGATTATATGTTCATGTACTTGCAAACGTGTAGTAGTAACTGATGACCATGGAAGTCAAGTCACAGGATCTCTACTCATTGTGTACAGACCTATGATGGATACAACGTACAATGAAGGAGGACTGCAATTAAGGGAAATGGCGCTGAGAATTGAGTCTTACGAAAAAAAAAATTTTTTGAACAAAAAAAAAAAGAAGGAAGAAAGAAGAAGACATACCCTTTATTGTAGGGCAATATTTGATTCTTATACTGTGTGAGCTTTCTTGCTGATTGACTCAAATGACTGCTTAGGTAGTCCACCAAGAAAATTTGTGTGAAAGACATTAACCTCTCCACAAATTCACCTTTATAGCTACCTACTGAGTAGTGAGTACTGATCCACTTTCAAAACCAAATTGTGCCCCGCAAAACAAGCCCTTTTTTCCTTAACCGCTCCACCCTATTAGTTATCTCCTTAAATGCTAGTAAATTACGTACATAGAACTCTGAATAAGCACTCTTACATTTCTCATTGTTGTTTTACTCTTCAGTTTCCAGGTCAGTTATCACCGGATTCATCTTTTGCATCAATGGGAAGAGCAAGAACTGATTCAGATATCAAATCCCATTTGGTAACAGAAATATGCAACATATCAGACCGTGCTGTCACCTGCGCTCATCAGCATCATTTCCGTTCTACTAATCCGCCTTTCGTTGATTGGTATCTGGTCCTCAAAGTATGTTTCATTCCATCTTTTCCGTTGCAAGTGTTTTCTCAAGCTGTTTTTGAACCAACGATGGCTTACAGGTGGATGAGAATGCAGGGCCCGATATCATCAGGAAGCATTACCTTAGACTTGGTAAGTTGAACAAGTATAGTTCAAATTCGCCAATCTTCTTCCCCGTCTAGGTTTTACTCTGCGATGGCAGCTGGCTTAATGCTGTGAGCATTTCCACTCCGTGCAGCTTTGCAGCTTCATCCTGATAAAAACAAGCATCCCAAGGCCGATACAGCCTTCAAGCTTGTCTCCGAGGTAAACTTACGTCCTCCTGTTTATTCTTTTCAATTTCATATAGATGACTACGGGAATTGCATTTTGAATTGGACATCTTTTCTTCTTTCTTCTTTGTTTCGACTTGAAGCTTCGGTTCAGATTTCTTAGAGCGTACCCGTTCATATCAGATAACAGCACTAGAATCTAGAAGTGATTTGCCAAAGCTTTAATGCGAAATGACGACATGCGTCTGTAGATGTTGGATAGATTTTAATCCGTCCTTACATACCGCTGTCTTAGATAATGTCGCGTAGGTAAGGTAACCATATAGCAAACCTTCAAGCCAAAAACATCGCCCTTCTGCTGGGGTGGGCGGGGAGTTGGGGTGCCTTCAGCTTTTTGAATTGTCATTTCTCTTTTAAATTATTTGTGCTACCCCGTTCATCACAGGCATATGCATGTCTATCAGACGACGCCAGGAGAACAGCTTTCAATCTGGAGAGGCATAGGAACTTCTGTTTCAAGTGCAGCAATATTTCAGACGATTCCCCCATCCCAAGCAACACAAAACCGAAGAGAATACCCACTTCAGAGAGGACTAGATCTAATCATGCCTTGCAAAGGATGAAGGACCTACGGGCCAGATTTATGGAAGAGGCTACCATTATAGAGAATTGTCTGAAGGCCAATGCAGCATCAAGGGTATCAGACTCATCCAGGAAGGAACTACCCACCTTCAATCCTGCAGATTACCTTTCCCAAGGCTATCCTCACCGCACCACTAGCAATAACAAGAAACTAGAGCGTTCTATTTCCAGAAACTATGGGCTTCACATATTGCGCACGAAACCATAATCAGAAGAATGCAGATCAGAATGGAAAACTTGCCGTACCAACTTTAGCCAAACCTACAAACTTCGAGCCATTCAAAGAATTACAGCCAATACAGAAAACTTGTCTTGAATTTGGTTTTGGATTTGTTACTTGTGAACAACCCTTGTAAAAGAAAAAAATTCATTATCAGCAAGATTCATAAGCACCAAGTGATTTTACAATATCCTTCTAACAGATTAAAGGGTTCCTAAGTTAAATATTTACTTTTACACCTTGAGTACAAAACTTTAGTGTTCACCAATCTTATGCAACTGGAGCAACAGATGCAAATGTTGGAAGACATTGAATGGCTGGATGAGTGCAATAATGCTTAGTTCGCTTGGACAATATCCCAATCTTGCTCCTTAATGGAAGTCCTGATCGGCTTTGGCAGACTCATTAACTGCAGGTAATGTAAGAACGCCACTATCAATTAAGGGTTGCAGCTCTTTCTTTGCTGCTTCACGCAAGGCAAGGTCCGAGGCCTCTAGGTATGCAGTAATCACCTTACAACTACACAAAAAAGAACAGGATCATCAGCATTGTTTATTTGTTCTCACATGGACAGAAAAGCTAAGCTCTAAAGTAGTAAATTGAACCTGTGACCCTGAGCCCATATTGCACATTTGCCTTTAAGAGCTTTCTCCCACAACTTGGAAGCAAAGATAGGGCAATCTAGAATAAGCTTTCTAATGGTCCTGCTAGAATGAAAATCTTCAAGGAGATGGTCGTCTTCTGCTCCCTCTGATTTAGGTTCTGCTACAAGAGTTGCTATTACTTCATACAATTTTTCCAACTTTTCATCCAAAGCAGGGTGAAGAACACCATCAGCACCCCCAGTTACAACCTATGTATAGACATTTGCAAATCATGTGAAAGTAAAAATGTTACATGAAATCATCCACAAAAAGTTAAGCTGACAGACTACAGCTAAGGAAAGAAACAATTATAAAGCCAAGTCAAAGAAAAGCAACAGCTTGATAAATGCAAAAATTATTTTAAAATCACTGCAAAAAACAATAACTATAATCCCAAAACTTTTGGAGGAAAAAGAAAAAAAAAAAAGGAAAAACGAGTGACAGGTCTGCCTCACGTTTTGAGCTAGTTAAAAATGTGGATGGAAACAATTTAGGTACATCTATCTAGATAACTCCAAAGAGTAATGTAATAGACTTAAGTATATCACCTAGGACTTAGAAAAACAATGGACCAAATTACATTGTAGAGCACAATGGTTCCTAAGGACCAATAAACATACTAAACTGCAACATCTATAACTAGAATTGTCATGTAATTTTTTCTTAACCTCTCTCTCTATCTCTACGTTGGAAGTTGCAACTTTCACCTAAAACCACTCTTCTTTCTAACCACACACTCATCTGAGATTTAGTGTAATCTAATTCATGAACACCTCATTTAAGATGATTAACTTACTTCTTTAGTAAAAGCAATTGAGAAAAATAAAAGAACTACTAGTGTAACTGTGCTCCTCATACAAAAAACCTGACATACCAGTTACCTAACAAGGCAAAGATCAGTGACCAGTGATCGTATTCTCTTAAACTTGGAAGGAGGATTAATTATCTCTTTCTTCCCTGAGTGACTGTCAGATGTTTTTCCCTTTTTAACATTCAATAGTTAAACTCACGCTTGGTTGAAGCATGAAACACAAAAGAGTGGTATGATCACAAAAGTGTTCTTTTTGTTGCATCACAACTTAGTGTCAACCCATGCGGCGACCAATTAAAGCCAATTGTTTATAGCTTTCTTTCTTGTCTGATTTCACAATCAAGGAGGATTTACATTAGGATTTATGTGCCTGCTTTGCAATACCTTTAGTCACCTCTCAGTGATTTTCTGTCTTCCACTGTGCAGGTTTTAATCCACTGAAGCACAGCTAAACTAAACTTGTTAGTAAGTTCCTATATATTCCATAACTGTGATTCATGAACATCTCGAAACAAATTCAAGAAACTAGGTTATACAGTTTATTCTCCATGGTAGGCTGGGTATGCTTAGACTCGTTAAGAAATGTTACATTTCTGTAGTAAATTCACAGATTAGGGACAAGAACCTTATCCGCTGCCGTAAGAGGACAACAGAATTTACATCTTTCCTATAAATTTAAAGTTCCTTAATTCAACAAAATTCTAAAATGGTGAGTTCAAAAGTCATTAGATAATTGGCAATATCCCCTGAAACGCTATAATTTATTTCTAGTCATTTCTGAATGGTACCTCCCCAAACATAGAATCTCGGTCCCACCACTGAACTGGAACATGCAACTAAGTGTGGATCCAATTAAAACCAATAAACCTACCTCATAGATGACTTCCTTGCCAAATTTTGACCTTAGCAAATTTTCTGCCATCTCACTGCATACATCAATGAGTTTCTGCAACCCCAAAAACAAAGAAGAAAGAAATAAAGAAAAAGGAACATCAGTAAAAATAAGGTAGGAATCAAAGCGTCTACGGTGAGACAATCAAACAGTCTGAATTTGGTAAATCACATAAAGGCTATACAATCTTAAGAGGGAAGTACAAAAATATAGGCTAAGAATATAGAATATCAGCAGAATCATGAAGTGTCATGCCAGCTCAGTTTCAAAGCCCACTGTAATGCATATATATCAATGGTAAACCTAGTGCAGAAGCCTCTTGCCACAAAAGTGTTTCAAGAAGGCTAGGAGAATGTAGCCTTGCATTTGCAAACAGATTCTCTGCTTCTTCCCAGTCAGCTCCAAGAAAAAAATTGGAGCAGCCTTGCTAGTGCCCCAAGGTTTGCCTCATCCTTGGCCAATAATAGTAAAAAAAAACAAATCTACGGGATCAAAACATAGATAAAAGTACAGAAAAACACAAACCTCAGCAAGCCCGCTATTGATCAACAACTCTCTCCTTCGTGTTAAAGGATCCTTCTTCGCAACCTCATTTACATCTGAATTCTTCCCAGCACTTTTACCTGTATTTGCCTCAACTAAGATCTCACCATTGTCTCTCTTCTCCTCATCACTTGCTTCATTAACCTCAGAAGACTCTTTCTGCTGAGACAAGAAAGAACTTGTTTATGAGCTACCATAATATCATATAAACAGAGCCAAAATACATCCACTAGGTTCAACTAATGCATTTATATGTTGCAAAGTTCTCAACTAGCAAAAAGATCAAGCTAGTTACCTTGGTGTTGAAAGAGGGGATAGACAAACTTAAGGACATGAGATCATCTGGGCTTAAATAGCGAGAACAATTTGGATGAAGTAACTGCAGAAGCGAACGCCTTCCATTCTGAAACAACAAAAAGTATGTTTAGGTTATATATATGCTATTTCACATAAACCTGTTGGATTCAAGATTTACAGATCTCTAAAAGTCCATGAACGAAGAAACATTTATGCATCTGGTGAAAGTAGTCTGAGCTAAAGCATTATCAACACTGTTCATCCAAAATGTGAAATAATTTAATGCTGGTATTGATGCAGGGAAGAAATAAAGTTTCAAAAAACTCAACTTTAGACCAAAGAAAGGCAGGCCTAAGCATAAGAAATTACACAAAGGGAGGGGTTGAAGAATCACATCTTTGGTTAACCAGGAATCCAGCCAAGAAGAGAGTGCACAAATCACATCTGGAATGAACAAATGTTCATTAACAGCAAATAAGCCACAATGTTCCACATCTCAATAAGGGCAAAGCAATCCTTTTTACTTTAACTAGGGTCTTGCAGCAACTCAGTATACGTGGTGGTTGCCATGCTAGGCACATTGATATTCTAGTTCTAAGACAGCTAGCTCTTTCCAATTCAAGCTGAGACAGAAGACCTTTACTACAAATTCAGGACTTCTAAATCAAATTTCAAGGTCACTGGATTATGCTTGACACCAAGTCTTAGAAAAAGCCATTCACTTTTTCAATTACTAGGGAAGATAACTAATAGGGCATAGACATGACAATTAAGACTACTTGAACTGTTTTGCAGATCAACTCATTCTGGCATCAAGAGAAACCCAGAATAATGAAGAACTTTATTGAAACTGTTGCAGAAGGTCATTACTCAAGTTGCAAATGCCTCTAGAGACAATTTTCTTGTAATTGAACCTTTACTTCTATTACACATGAAAGAAAGCTGACACTCAACTAAATTTGGGCTAGATTTTAACTGCCTGAGAAGTGAGGGCACCAGAAGATTATAACAAGTTTAACAAGTCCTTTAAATTACAAACCTGATCTAGAACAAGTTCCTTCAGAATGCCCTCCAGCTCACGAATGATGATCTGTAATGCAGGATGCACTTCTAAGATGCCACCTAACATCACTGCTTAATAAAAAACTTAGTTGCTAGAAACCAATAGCTATGGAACCAACCTTTGATAAGAGTTTCGTGTCATCAACTGTTGAAAGAATGGAGACAAGAACCTGAAATTTGTATTAGCACGTTATACTTCCAACTATCCAATACGAAAGTAGGGTAAATGCACTGAGAAGTCAGTAAAGTTCACAACCAAATGGCCTATTAATGAAATGTGTGTTCGACAATTAAAATTTCTTGCTATCTATTATGGTGTAAAATGAATGCAGAAAACCAAAAAACAAATAACCAGGAGATTCTGAGTTCTTGAACTCAAAAAATGCAAATAGCTACAAAAGAAAGACAAGTCAATAATAAAATCATACTCACCATACTCCCAAATCTGTCACGAGCAATCTTGTCACACTGACCTTTCATTCCTTTAATGATTTTCTTCCTCTCCTAAAACACACCATCAAAGAAAACAAAAACGAAAAGTAGATTGATCAACAACAGATGACTATACAAAAAGAGCAGGGAACTTTTGAGTTTTCCACAGAAGATGAACAAAAACAAAACTTTTTCAACAAACCTTTGCACTTCCATGTTTGATGCATAGTATGCCAACCCGGGAACCATCCCTAGTGTGTATCATCCGAACAAGAAGTGGACCTGATAACTGCTGAATTACATCTGCAGCAGATGACTTTAAAATTCTTGATTT